TTTTTTATAATTTTTTTTTTTTTTTTTTTTTTTACAAAAAGATATTATCAGATTGGTAGTATCTAATTGTAAAGCAATAGTTAAATAAGCTCTTAGTTGATATAATCTTTAGAAATTGTACTAGCTAATATAATTAGTTATCTGTGAATATATATAAATAACTAAATATATAATTTTGGTTCTATATTAGTCATATAAGATAACTATATAATATTATGTCTATAGTTTTATTAATACAATGTTTATAAATATTTATTTTAATAAATATTGAATACTAGCATGATTAATTAAATAGAAAAAAAATTTACTAAAAACAAATTATTAAATTTTAAATTTTAAATATTTTTATTAAAAATTTTTTTTGAATTTGTATTTTTTATACTAAATATTTAAAATCTTTACAATTATTTTTATTTTTAAAACATATTTAATTGTAACATATTACATACTTATTTGTAACAACTTACTTAATATATCTAATAAAAATTCATAAACCAAACTCTAACTATTATTAGTTAACTACAATGTTGCTACTATAACATGTTACAAATGTAATATTAATATCAATAAACTTTTGTATAAGCTACTATATAGAATTTGCAAATTTAAAAAATATTTTAAAATCAAAAATCAAAAATTAAAAATACAGCATTACTAAATCACACCAGTGGTGTTCAACACCATAGCTGCTATATCGTCAGGGGTACTAAGCAAAAATATTCAGCGCCCCAAAAAACCTTACCCTAACTAAAATTTGGCCATAATACTGACATCACGCGACATGACAATTAATATTTAAAGATTAGTAATCACATTAACAATCATTGTCAGACTTTAGATTTTTAATTGTTTATTTGCGTTATGTCAATATTATGGCCTGTCGAGATTTTGGATGTCGGGATTTTGTACTAGACCCAAAATTTAAACCTATATCATACTATAGTTCATGTTCCCTAATCCTAAATTTTACTAGCAAAACTATTAAAACATACATGTGGTGTTATGTGATTTAGTGCTATTTGAAAATCTTTAATAACCCTATTTTTTATATTCAAATTTATTAGAATAATTTTATATTTTTTGAATTATACATATAATAATCAAAATAATTGAAAATTTATTAGACTTAAAGTTTAAAGTTAATATATATTGATTTTTTACAAATTTTTTAAAATATAGTTTTTGATAAACTGTTTAAAATTTCTGATCGTATTACAATGATTTCTCATTGATTAACACTCTAAACTTAATATTATTTCTAATAATAGCGATAGTGATAAATTTTTATTATATATATATATATATGTGTATTTTGTACTATTTAATTGTTTGATTTTGGGATATAAGTCTGTTCTCAAGATTTTGAACGCGGCTCGTATGCTAATCTCAGATACAACACATTTTTTGCATTTATGTTATTAATTAGGCACATACTATTTATTTCGCAAAATTTGATGCTAAAAACTTGGCTGATCAGATTAAAATATAATCGGTAATGTATTAAGTGCTTGTAACTGACAGTAACAATAACCGAATTTCGTGTTGGGTTAGAGTAGGTCATAATATACAGTAAAATTTGTGAGTATTTTTAAACACGAAAGTTAGTTTCGTGCATAATTTTGAGTTATCATCATGCAATCTGATTGACTTTGCGCCAGTGACAAATAGATTTATAAATTGTTTTTATCATTGTCAATATAATAAATTACAACCTTTAAGTAAATACTTTATTTTTAAATATATAAATATATATATTATAGCATTTTGTCTTTAAAAACTCTTAATTATACAAATTATATATTATATATATATAATAATAATTCTATATATATAATATATATTTCTAATTGTATATTTTAAGTTAAAATCAAGTAAATTAAAGTATATATAATTCGCTATGATAAAAAGCTTAAAAGGCAATTTGATTAGATTTTTACATGGATTGTAAATAGAAATCGCAAAATCCGGCTATTGATTAAGCAAACGTATGTAATTGATCAATCATATATAATTACGAGCGCCTGTTATTAAAAAAGACTGCTTACTCATAGTTCTGGTTTATATTTAATGTCTGCAGATTTTGGTATTTCAATCCTTCATTCTTAACCAATCTTTTTTTCATTAAAAAATAATTCTAACAAGATAATTTTATCTCTTTCCCTTAAAAACCTCACTATATATGCATTATCGTAGATGTGTTTTGAAAAAAAAAAAAAAAAAAAAAAAAAAAGTGAAAAAAAAGTGAAAGAGTGTACAAAATACATAATAATGTATACACTATAGAAATGAGAATGCTTCAACCAATAAATGCTTTATACATATAATTGTATTATAGAACCGGACTTTGATTTGTGCCGACAACTTGGACATGCAGTTTTTTCTTTCTTTTTTTCCAAGAATTTGTCCACGCAACCTCCACAAATAACATGCCCGCAGTGTAACGCCCATAATTTTTCACGAAGAATGCTGTTACAATCTACACAAATTAAAGTACATGAGTCTTCAAGATTCCTTGTGTGACCTGCTAATGACGGCTTTGAAATATTATTATCCCGGCGCGAGGTGGACGTAGGTGGTGTACTCAGGATCTGAAGATCGTTAGCATTAATCGTAGTGGAGGTTGCGTTTTCGGTTTGAAAAATGGAAGGGAATGTCCGAGAAGTGCCTGTAGCATTATCATGGGAATGTAGACGATCATGTTGAGAAGGAGCGATGGTTATTTCGTCTGCTGCATAGAGCACAGGATGGAATGCCGATGCATGCTGTCGGTGATGACGATATGAGAATTGAAGATTTGAGTTTGTTCCCTGAACAGACTGAATAGTAGTGACATTTACTATCGCTAAACCTATTAAAATTTGGACTATTTAATCTAACGTATTGAATATTATATCGTTTGTTTATTCAATTTTTTGAAGACTCTACTGCTACAACATGTGCGATTTAAGACAAACCTCGCAACGGAAATCCAGAACTTTGTAACCGATTAGAACGAACGGGACTAGAACGACTAGGGTTCGAACGAACAGCATTGGTTCTAGCTCGAATTGGACCACCTCCGTTTCTGATCGAAGGGCTTTGTACATTACCAGCCGAAATCGCTCCAGGTGTATTGTATAAACTTTGACTACCAAATGTATGTTGGTTCATATTATTTCGAGAGTAGGAATTGTTATGGTCAGAACCATGTGACGGGACAACGTCATCCTCAGTGTCACTATCTATAATTACAATGTCAACCGTAGAAGTGGTTCCGGACCTTGTTTGTCTAACGCGAGAATACATATCAATAGGTGAAGTTGGTGTTGTCAAATTACAATAAGTACGAGAAAAAGCGGACGGACTGGACATCTTAAAAGAAAATGCTTTTTATGGATTTGTAAATATTATGACCTTATATATCCCATCGTATTGTGCAACTTTGTCGATCCAAACTAAAATGTTTCAGGCCAACTTTGGTCCATTTCTAATCTTATCTGATCATAAAAAAAAATTATTCTCTAGTTTACTTACTGTAATAATGTAAGGTTCTGGAAAGTACGATCAAACCTCTATATAAGGGGTTTTTTCCTGCAAATTTTTCGTTCTTAGGAAGGTGTAAATGCCAAGTCTTGATTTAATTGACCTTTGCTGGATTTAATACTGTTATAATGATCTAACTGCAACCGATCGAGATCAAGCCCATTCTATTTTGTCATGAAACACTATATTTCAGGTTGAACTGCTCCTATTTCTCTCCTATCGATGCGACCTTTATTATGTTAAAAAAAAAACGAAAATGGGAGAATAGCCCCTTGGCGGATTCGAACCACCGATCTTCGCTTTACGAGAGCGAAACCTTAACCACTGGGCCAAAGGGGCAATTATAAGTAAATTGCTTTAAATAATTTTTTTATTTATTTAATAACATTTATTAAATTACTTTTTATAGAAAATAAAACATCTTGTATACTATTTAGCACTGCTTATAGTATTCCCCATGATTTAAGGCCAAGTACTATTTTGTTATACTATCGCTATCAGACTAATTCTTAAATAATCACCCGGGGGTATATTTATATTGCTATTTTTCATATACCACATATTACCGAAAAAATAAACTCCCCAGATTTTGGAGCCAAAATTTGACGAAAGTTGTTATGTTTTACTAATAAAATCGAACCAATATAAAAACCTCTTTACTTTGGCTTAAAAGCCTTATATTTTTTTTTTTACAACATTTAGTTGTTTATTCTTGGTAATATACGTTAAGCTGTCTTAGGTGATAACTAAGACACCTCGGGTATTGATGTTTGGCCAGCATTAACTGATCGATATTATTTTGTCTAAACTATAATTCTTATCCTAATTCTTAACTCTAGTTTAGGCCGATCGATATCTGAAACAAGAATGCATAATATATTTAAATATACATAGTATCCGGTTTTATAAAAAGATATTAAGAGGTGATTCGCCGTTAAAGGGTATAAGCATCATATAAGCATCATAGTAAAAATCGGCGGGCATTACATATA